TATAACTCTTTGTATGTTGTTTTTAAAATGGCTACTGTAGATATTATACACACCTAATTTCAGAGTCTACATAGAGTTAATATTACACCTCTTTCAGAAAAAATAGAAGCCTTACAACTGTATAGGGCCTTTGCCCTCACTCCCTTATGTTGCAGGTGTTGTCTGTACTATATCTACATATATTCAAACCTCACCAGACCTTATCAGTTTTGCTTTCAACAGCCTGACATATTTTAATGAATGTAAGAGGAGAGAAGTATGCTATTACATTTACTTACTTACCTTTTTTGATCTTCCCTTTTTCTTGAACTTCCCAGTTTCCCTCTAGAATTAATTCCTTTCTGTCTGAAGACTTACCTTATCATTTCTGGTAGAGCAGAGCTGCTGGCAACAAATTCTCCCCATGTTTCTTCTTCTAAGAATGACTTTATTTTGCTTCCATTCCTGAACAATATATCCAGAAAGATTCTAGGTTGGCTCTCATACTAACATAACATAAAAAAAAAATCTTCTGACCAGGATGATTTCTTTTTTTTTTTTCCCAAGATTTTAAAAAATTTATTAGAGAGACAGGGGGATTTGAGCACAAGCAGGGGGATCAGCAGGCAGAAGGAGAGGGAGAAGCAGGCTCCCTGCTGAGCAGGAAGCCCGACGTGGGGCTGGATCCAAGGACCCTGGGATCATGACCTAACTGAAGGCAGACGCTTAACCTATCGAGCCACCCAGGTGCCCCACTAAGATGATTTCTGATGTGAAATCTGTAATCATTCAAATTGTTTTTCCTCTTTACATAATGTGGCATTTTCTCTATTTTTTTTCTTTTTTGGTTTTGACTAGTTTAATTATGATGTAGGTAGGCATGGTTTTTAAAGCTTATCCTATTTTTCATTTGCTAAGCATCTTGGACATGTAAATGTATGACTTTCAACAAATCTGTAAAATGGACATTTATTTCTTCAAACTTTTTTTCTTCACTGATAGCATTCTCCTTTTGCTGGCAGATCAATTACATAAATTGTCTCACAAATCCCTCAATCTGTGTTCATTTTTATTTTTATTTATTTATTTTTTAAGATTTTATTTATTCATTTGAGACACAGAGAGAGAGAGAGAGAGAGAGAGAGAGCATGAGCAGGGGGAGAGGCAGAGGGAGAGGGAGAAGCAGGCTTCCCACTGAGCCAGGAGCCTGATGTGGGGCTCCATCCCAGGACCCCAGGACCAGGACCTGAGCCAAAGGCAGACACTTAACCATCTGAGTCACCCAGGCGCCCCTGTGTTCATTTTTAAAAATCTTTTTTCTCTACTGCTCAGATTGTAATTTCCCTTGTTCTGTTTTCAAGTTCACTGACTCTTGCCTCTGTCATCTTCATTCTGTCATTACACACAGGAATTTTTAATTTCAGTTACTGAATTTTTCCGTTCTAAAATTTCCTTTTTTCCCCCTCTTATAATTTCTTTGCTGAGAGAAGTCTATTTTTTCCGCTTATTTCAAGAGTGTTTGTCCTTATTTCATGAAGCTTGATTATAAAAATGGCTTTAGGGGCACCTGGGTGGCCCAGTCAGTTAGGCATCTGACTCTTGATTTTGGTTCAGGTCATGATCTCAGGGTCATGAGATGGAGCTGCACATTGGGCTCCGAGCTCAGCAGGGAGTCTGCTTGAGATCTCTCTCTCTCTCCTTTTGCCCCTCCCCCCCAAAAATAAATAAATAAATCTTTTAAAAAATGGCTTTAAACTGTTGGTCAACTCAGGGTTGGTGTCTGTTGATTATTTTTTCCTTTGAGTGTTACTGAGACTTTCCTGTTTCTTTGAATATTACATTGGAAGACACTGGGTTCTGATAAAATCTTCTGGGGAATGTGGATTTTTGTTTGTTTGAGCAGGTTGTCAACCTGGGTAGGTACTAACTGACTTTTTTTTTTTTTAAGATTTTATTTATTTGTCAGGGATAGACAGAGAGAGAGCACAAGCAGGGGGAGAGGCAGAGGGAGAAGCAGGCTCACTGCTGAGCAGGGAGCCCAATACAGGGCTCAATCCCAGGACCCTGGGATCATGATCTGAGCTGAAGCCAGACGCTTAACCCACTGAGCCACCCAGGAGTCCCACTAGCTGACATTTTGACCTGCTTTCGAGGATGTAGCTCCCAGTAACAGTTCAGCTTTCATAGCCCATGTTGGCCATTTGTCTGGTTTCACTTCCAAAAAACCCTTAACAACAATACCTAATTACTGTCACTTGATCATTCTCTCATTTCTTCCACTAAAATAAAGGACAGATGTGTCTTGGGACTTAGTTATTCTATTCTCCATGTGTCAGATTTTATCTTTTTGGTTTCTATTTTTATGATGTTCAGCTGCATTCTGGGATACTTCCTGAGTTTCATTTTCCAAGTCCCCAGTTTTCTGATCAGTTATCTAATGTCTATTATGGAATAGATCTTTTGAATCCTTTTATTCAATTAATGAGTTTTTATCTATGAAATTTCCTTAGCACCCTTTTTTCCACTAAGCTCTTCTTGTATCGTGAATGTCACATCTTCTTCTGTTTGAAGATTTAAAGCATACTTATTTTTAAATCTCTTCCCAATTTTCAATCTATCTCCCTTGCCTTTGTTGGGAATTCCCACAGTGACTGGGTCTGTACTCTATTTTTCATGGCATAGTTGATCACATACACTTGGTCATTTTGCCACTGAGCTAACCCTTCACAGAAGTTATCACCCCCATTCTCCTGCATTGTGAAGTCCTAAACAAGTGACTAGCTTGCAAGTGCTTCAGACTCACGATGTGTAGGTGTTCCAAACTCAGGGTGCCGGCAATGCATGGAGCATTCAAAATTGAGCTCCACGCTACATTGATACCTGCCCATATTGCACTGAATATTTTTCGCTCACACCTGGCGAAAGGAGCTGAATTCTGGGTGTGACCTCAGATCGGGGAGTGGAGATATTGCAGTCCTTATTCAGACAGGCAGCAGGCTCGGAGCTCCCAACCTCACACCTGGAACCCTGTGTCTCCTCTGGGGCTTTGCCACCTGTCTCCATACATACACAGCAAACCAGGTCCTGGGGCCCATCTCTGGGACCCATGACCAAGCCCAGTCAGCGTTGGTCTCTGCTTATGTCTAGGGAGTCACTCTGCATTTCTGGCACTTTAGTTACTCTAATTTAACTGTGGCCATGGATCTTACAAACCTTTATCTGGCATTTCTGTGTGCTGGGAGTGGATGTTGGCTGTGGCCTTCAATGACCCTGTGATATGAGCTCTGACACTGTAGGCATCTCAGTGTCTACAAGCCACACATGAAACCACCCCAGATGGAGCCACACAATCCTGAGGGGAGAGGCCACTATGTCGTCACTATGAGGAACGGGAGACTCAGAAAGGGGAAGTATCTGCTAAAGAATGACAGTGTTTCAGCTCTAATTTCAATTCGATCTCTGAATTGCCTTCAACCCATGCCCTTAATCCCGTGCCTGGGGAAGGAATTCACAGTATGGGATGGAGAGCTCTGCCCAGGGGAGGACGGAGCCCTGAGGAGGCAGAAATGAACTGGAAGTTTAGAAGGAGTGATGAAGAGAAAGATGGTGTTGACTTACAGAAACAAGGAAGTCAGTGAAGGGAAGTGTGGGGGGCAAAGAAAATCTACAGTCCCAGGGCAGGAGGAAAGGCTGTGCTTCCTTCTGAGAAATGACAATGTCTTCATAGCACCTCCCAATGTCTGCCTCTCCCTGGGTCATCCTCCTGGGGTGGCCCCACTGGCTCCTCCAGGCACCAGACAGGGGGTGGAATAGCCTCGTGCTCTGGCGCTCATGTCCACTCACCAGATACACACCACCAGGCCCCTGAGACCCTCTTAACAACGTCCAACCCATCAAAAGAACTCAAGAAGCCTGTGTGCATCAGCCCGTCAGCCTCCCCCCTGCTCCTCAACTAGGCCTCTCCTCTCCCCAGTATATTCCTCCCACCACCTCCAGAGGATCCTTTTAATCACCAGGCTGGTCTGATCCTGTGGGAAACTCAAAACCCGCCCGCACTCTGCTGCAGAAAGATCTAAGTTGTACCATCTCATCTTCAAGGCTATGACCATCAGACTAGAACTAAACCCACCAGCGCCAGCAAACACAACTCACACTCCAACCCAAACACCTCCCCAAGCAACGCAAACTGAGCTATTAACAATTCCATGCCTTCTCTCGGGCTGCCCCCTCAGCCAATCTGAACCTGGCCAACTCCTCTTCAACCTACCATCCTGGCTCATTCTGCTCAACTGTACATGTGTTTTGTGTGATAGGTTTGGGTAAGACTTAAATGAGAAAACTACATACACAGCTTAATTACTCATCAACACACCACCCGGGGACCAGACGAATGCTGGGGTTTGACCACTAATTGTATTTCCTACAGTGTTAGTCTTTTCCAGACAGAAATTTGTTCGACTGTCTGCTGGTTAAAATCTTCCCATTGCCTTAAAGTAGAAATCCCAAATGCTTGCATGATGCTCAAAATCCTGTGTGACAAGGCCCTGGCTTCCTGATTGCTCTCAGTTCTGAGAACAGCTCAAATCTTTCTGGTTGAGGATGCCCCCCACTCCCATCTCTGTGCTAAACCCCAGCTCCTGCCTTCCATCACTCCATCCCCCAGAAGGACCCCTCACAACCAGGACCCAGACTGTATGATGTCTACACATTATGATTCTCATGATTCCGTTTTCCTTTTTCTTCCAACTTGGAAGAATCTTATAAGGCTATAATAGAATTGTTTCCCACCTAAATATTTATATTGTCTATTATCACTAATCACAGCCCCGTGCATCCAGGGAAGGAACAAGTCTGCTCCCTCACCAATGAATCTCCAGTGCCTGGCGCCATGATTGGATGTGGTCACTGGTTGATTGTCAGTGTGGTGGAAGGATGAAAATTTGCATTTACAGAAACTCAGGAAAGGGAAGTGTCATAGCCCAGGTCACACAGCCTCTGTGTGAGTAAGGGGCAGAAGTGGAACTGGAAGTGGGCTGGCTCCCAGACCCTACCCTACCTCCCCAAGCTTCATGTGCGGGGACCAGTGCTGTTCTCTGGACTTGGGCTTGGTGGGGAGGAGGCAGAGTGAGTGTGGTCTGGGGAGACTCACGTCTGCTTTGAACAGTCCCAGGACCTGCTGCTCTCAGGCCACCCTTCAGGGAGAGCAGAGAGAGGCCCTGGAGGGGCTGTCCCCCTTCCTGTGAGGCCATCCATCTGGGACCCGTGACCAGCAACACGGGGCCTGGGCTGGGTCACACCTTGTGCATCTGTCCGTCCAGCACACTCTGAGGACTCTGCACGGCTGGGGACCATGGGAGGCAGCGCTGGGACCCTGACCCTCACTGCCCTTCTCTACCTTGGTGAGCTTTCTGGAAACGAGGAGGGATGGGGTTGTCCTTCCCCCCAGCCCCCAGGTCCTGGTCCCTGGGAGATCTCAGGACTGTGGAGGATCAGTGGGGGCAGAACTTCTGGGGGAAGGAGTGTCCTCAGCCCCAGATGTGACCCCGGTGCCCAGGGGCCCAAACCAGGCCTGGAGCAGCTACATGTGGGTGGGGGACGCACTCACAGGAACTCTCTTCCAGGGCTGTGTCGGGGCCTGTGGGACCAGGCACGGGCAGGTAAGTCTGCCCCAGACTTCCTGTTTCTGCCCAACAACCCCCTGGGCATTTGGGGGTCACAGAGGGTCAGGGCTGATGGTGACCAGTGTGGGAAGGGCCTTGGGGTGACAGGTGGGAAAATGAGGAGAGAAGGGCACCCTTGCAACTCTCCATCTGTTTCCTTTCCAGGGACCCTCCCTAAACCCTCCATCTGGGCTGATCCTGGCCCCATGGTCACCAAGGGGAGCCCTGTGACCATCTGGTGTCAGGCGTCTCTGCGGGCTGATGTCTACTATCTGTATAAAGAGAGGATCTATGAATCCTTGCCCATGAAGACCTCAGAGGATTCCAGCGATAGGGCCAGTTTCTACTTTGCATCCATGAGCTCACACAGTTCAGGGCGATACCGGTGTGCATATCAGAGAGGGAAGAGCTGGTCACAGCGGAGTGACCTCCTGGCCCTGGTGGTGACAGGTGAGAGCAGGAGCTGGTCCCCTCCCCCTGGGGGCCTCCTCCAGACAGAAGGGAACAGAGTGTGACCTCAGGGGGACCCCTCGCTCACAGTCCACAGGACAGGGGGTCCATGGGGTGATGTCCCTATAACACAGCTCTTTCCTTCTCCCTCAGGAGTGTATGATGCACCCTCCCTCTCAGCCAACTCAGCCCTTGTGGTGGCCTCGGGAGGTAATGTGTCCCTCTCCTGTAGCTCACTGTGGCAATTGGGCTCATTCCACCTGCTGAAGGAGCGGGGAGCTGATGTGACACAATACCTGGAAATGACGTTCCGTCGTGAGAGGTACCAGGCAGTCTTCCTTGTGGGCCCTGTGAACACCTCCCATGGGGGAATCTACAGATGCTACACTTCTCACGAATCGTACCCATATTTGTGGTCACAGCCCAGTGACCCTCTGCACCTTCAGGTCACAGGTGAGCGGGCCCCTGCTTCACCCCATCTACCTCCTGGGCCCAGACGACTGACCTAAGCCATATGCCCCGTGGAGCCCTGGGGTTGATGGGGGGTGGGTGACAAGGTCGTCCTGGGGCCAGACCCACAGGTGGGAGGCCTTGGGAGGGACACCTAAGAGCCTCACTGCAGGCCCTGGGCCAATGTGGGGTGTGAGTCCCCTCAGTGCCACTGTCCCCTTCTGTCCAGGTGTCTACAGGGAGCCCTCCCTCTCAGCCCAGCCGGGATCCCTGCTGCAGTCTGGAGACAACCTGACCCTCCAGTGTCGCTCAGAGACTGGCTTCGACAGATTCGCTCTGACCAAGGATGAGGAGCTCAGAGCTCCCCAGCGTCTAGATGGGCAACCCAGCCCCAACTTCACCCTGGGCCCTGTGAGCTCCACGCACGGGGGGGGCCGATACAGTTGTTACTGTGGACACAAGCTCTCCTCCACGTGGTCGGCACCCAGTGCCCCTCTGGATGTCCTGATCACAGGTGAGGAGCCCCCTGCCCCATGTCCCGACTCAGGGCCTGGGACCACAGTTGCCCCTGGGTGATGGGGTCCAGGGAAAGGGTCACGGGCACAGGTTGATATGGAGACATGGTCTAGAGACAGGGACTGAGAAAGGGACAGTGAGGGCCATGGAGATAAAGGACACCCTCTCAGAGAGACAAGAGGTGCTGAGAGGGGTCCCACACAGAGTCTCTGGAGAGAGGATGGTGGTCCCCCAGCCCAGGGTCAAGGGGCGTGTGGGGAGGGGTGGCTCTCTACACGTCACCACCTTCACTCCCCCAGGAATATATGAGAAACCGTCCCTCTCAGCCCAGCCGGGGCCTTCAGTGTCCTGGGGTGAGAACGTGACTCTGCAGTGTCGCTCTGAGATCTGGTTGGATACCTTCCACCTGTCCAAGGAGGGGTCCCTGGCTCCTCCCCAGGTCCTTCATCTGCAGGACACAGCGAAACCTTACCAGGTCAAGTTCACCCTGAGTCCTGTGACCTCAGCCCACGGGGGGACCTACAGGTGCTACGGCTCATCCAGCGCCTCCCCCTACCTGTTGTCCCAGCCCAGTGACCCCCTGGAGCTCCTGGTCTCAGGTGAGGAGCCCAGCCCTGTCCCCTTTTTGTCCTCATGGTCGGCTCAGGGACCTGTCCTCCGGGGATGGGAGTGAGGGGGTCACAGAAGGCCACCCTCTGTGGCATGGCTTGTGTCTGGGGTAACCACGGGGCCCCCGGGGGCTCTGAGCCTGGGCCAAGTGGCAGGTGGGGTGGTCATGGCAGAGGGAGAGGGCGGAGCCCAGGTGGGGGAGGAGCACCCTGAAGTGGGGAGCACATAGCCCCTGCCCCTCACCTGCCCCCCACCTCCCTGTGGTGGTCCCAGGAGGCTCTGAGGATGCACCGCTCATCCCACAGAGGGTAAGTGAGGTCTCTGTCGGGAGGTGGTGGGTGGGAGGAGCTCAGCCTAGGCTTGCCTCAGCCACTTCCTGAGATTACAGCCCGAGAAAAGTTCCTTCTCACTGGGACAGTTCCTCCGATTGCAAATCTGATTGCAAAGGGCAAGAAGGTGGCCCCATCCCTGTGCAGGGCGGGGCCAGGGAGTAGACACACACAGGAGGTGTCTGAGTTCACCTTCACAGAAGATAAGGGGGCCCAGCCTGAGAGCAGCTGGGGAGTCAGGGCAAGAGCAAGGCTTGGAAGTCACACCCCCACGATCAGCCCCCAGCTCTGCTACTTCCCGGCTGTGGGCTCTTGGACGAGTCATGTCCCTCTCGGTGGCCCAGGCTCACTGTCTGCACAACAGGCCTCCCGCCACCTTCCTCAGGGCCGCTGTGAGATTTTGGTGAAAGCCTCAGCATGGCCCTTCTTGGATCTCTGGAGAGGCAGAGCCCTCCCGCCTGCCCTCACGCATACACACACTCCAGGTCCACACAGGCCCCTGTGGGGGGGTCAGGCCTGTGCAGTCGGGAAGACGGGTCTGGGCTTGGATTTGGTGGACAGGTCTCCACTCAGGTGTTCTGCCTGGAGGGTAAGGGGGCAGCATGAAAAAACCCCAAATCCTGCAAGGGAACCCACAGCCCTGGTCCCAGCCCCAGCCCTGCCGCCCCCACGCTGGGCGACCTGAGACATGTGAATGACCTCTCTGTGCCTCAGTTTCCTGTCTGTGGAGTGGGCGGGAGGGGCGGCAATCCCCTGCTGCGTGATCGTTGACAGGGTCAGAGGTGAATGCACAGAGCCCAGCAGGTGCCTGGCACACAGTAGGTGCTCAGTTAAATGGCATCACTGGCTCGTTCATGGTGTGGCTCCTGCCCAAGGTCCCCACTGGTACCTGTATGTCCTCATCGGGGTCTCGGTGGCCCTCGTCCTGCTGCTCGGCCTCCTCGGCCTCCTCCTGGTCCGACACCGGCGTCGCGGCAAAGGCAGGAAGCCAGGTGAGAAGGGGAGGGGGTGACGGGCCCCAGGGGGTGGTGGCTGTCCTGTGGGCCGACCGAGGGCGGGCTCAGGGCAGCGGCCAGAGAGGGAAGCCGGAGAGGTGGGAAAGGCCGTGTAGAAAGACTCCAGCATCTCCCAGTGAGAAACCCTAGGAAGAAGGGTACACGTGAGCACACGTGTAAATATTTTATCCTTTCGGCTTTTCGAACTTAGGGAATGTTGGAAAACACACACAAGCTTTGTTTTTCATTGTTAGAACTGCTTTCTCTTGACTTGTATGTGGGGATGGGCGGGGACCACACAGAGCCTCAGCTTAAGGCAGGCCCTGGAGGGTTCGGGGTTCGGGGATCGGGGGGCAGCCTGAGGCTGACTTCCAACTTCCTGCAGCAGTGTCAGCGAAGGCGTCTGAGGACAGAGGCCTGCACGGGAGGTAAGACCATCCCGAGGCCCCGACTCCTGCCAGCCAGCGGCCCCTCGCTGCCGCTAACTCCCCCGTCTCCTCCCCAGGTCCGGTCCGGCGGCCACTGCCCAGGAGGAGTCCTTGTGTAAGGGGAAGCGTGCGGCCGCCCTGGGGGAGGGAGGAGGCGGGCCCAGACACGCGGGTGGGCAGTGGAGGCGGGGGACAGCATCGGACTCCACGCGGCCTTGTAACACCACTGACCCTCTCTGGGGATCTTGGCAAGAGGGGGGGCCACGTTGTTCTGTCCCCACCAGATGAGGTCATGAAAGACACACAGCCTGAGGAGGACACACAGCTGGACAGCCAGGTGAGCTCCCTGTGCCCCTGACCGGGGCATCCCCTGCCTCCCTGCTCACGCGGTAAACCCAGTGGACTTCCGCCCAGCAGCAGGCCTCTCCCTTTGGAAGCCCACCACTCTCTGCGCTGCTGCGACCCCACTCCCCTGGGCCTCTTCTGATCTCCGGCTGCTGGGACCCTCGAGTGGGCGGAGCTGGAGGCTAGGGCTGAACCACCCCCTGGGCCTGTGGAGGCCCAGAGAAGGCGCCTCAACTCCACACAAAGTGGTCCCACAGCCTCGCTCAGCCTTCTGCTTTCTGTTCTTTCCCCAACCACCTGCGGCAGGTTCACAGTTCACCCTGGCCAAGGAGCTGAGCCAGGGGGCGCTGGGCCCACCTCAATTCCTGCCTCCAGCCTTGACCTCACCCAGCACGGTTCCCACAGCCAACTACCCACGTGCCCACTCCCTGTGTCTACACCACAGGCACTTCCAATTCACACCCCTCCTCCCCAGATACACTGAAGGAGGGCAAGAGCGGGCTCAAGGCCACTCCTGTCTAGCAAGGTCCCTAGACCCCCAGGGAGTGCATCCTCCCCTCCCCAGCCACACGCCTCCCCCCCCCCCCCCATTCCAGGCTGCGGTATCTGAAGACCCTCAAGATGTGACCTACGCCCAGCTGGACTACTTGACCCTCACACAGGAGACAAGTACACCCCCTTCCCAACCAGGGGAACCCCCGGATGAGCCCAACGTGTATGCTTCTCTGGCCATCCGCTAGCCCGGGAAAGACCCATATGGCCACTCCAGGGGTCTGGAAGGCACAGGAGCTGCCCACAGTGCGTGCCACCTAAAGAGCCTGGAGGCAGGACACAGACCACCAGCAACTCCTGGGACCTCGTGGAAGTTGATTGCTTCCTGAATTCCCATCATGGCACAGCTGATCTTATTGTGTCTAGAAGGATCCCCGAGAAACACCGAGACCTTTAACCACCAAGTGGCAACCTTGTGGTGTCGGGGGGAACCTAGCATAAGCTGCAAGAACTGGGGATCTTCTGAAGGCTTTGCAGGACCCAGGGCCATCACACTGAAGCTGGGCACTTTCAACTGACCTCAGATGACTCGTGAGCAATGCTGCAGCCCATGAGGGGTTGCTCAATGCCAAGGGCTTCCGGTTTCCTGGAGACCAAGCCCCTTCTCTGCCGGGTACAGCTCTCAACAAGGCAGAGAAAAGGGAAGCTGCTCTCCCTCCTGACCTTGTGTTCACAAACTCCAGATGCAGGGGGAGGGGAGCAGGGTGCCTCAGCTCTCCCTTCCCAACCACACCAATAAGCTTTAAGCCAGCTTGTTCAGTGCTCCCCAACAAACGCCAATTCAACTACTTCATCCTTACCTCCAACCCAAGGTTCAGCATTTAGCTCCTGCCAACCTTAACCCTGACTTCTTTTTGCCAGGGTCAAGGTTCAAAGGGCTAGAGACACTGGGCTGACCCTCCACTTGCTACTTCCTCTGCCTGCAAAGGAATCTCCCCACCCCCATGCCAATAGCTGGCTTGAGCATTTCCCCCAACACTGGTGTCCCCGCTGAAGTAACTGGTATGTCTGTGCTGCTCACGACTGCACCCCTGCCCCAGGCAGCAAGGACACCAGCTGGGAGGCTCCCCAGGCCCCTCTAAGCAGGCAAGGCTCAGAGGTGTGAACTAGCTGGACGGAACCTGGTCAAGGATCCAGCCTGTGCCTCTTCCCACCAGGGGCTGTTCAGAGCAGGGAGGGAGACACACACACCAATAAACACCAGTTCCAAAGGGTTGATTTGTTTTATTATCTGACTGGGAAACTAGACAATTCACGCCCCAAGGAGATGGAAGGGTGGGCTCAATCCTCCTCTTCGTCATCGCCGGCTCCAGCCCCACCCTGGCCCTTCTTGGCATTCTTCCTCTTCACACGGCCTGGACGGCCGCCCCCATATGGAGAACGCAGGGAGAAGTCAATGTGCTTCTGGGAATCCAGACGGACAATGAAGGACGGGATGTTCACCACCTGCTTTCGGACCCTGGAGAGGGGACAGCAGGTGAGGGGACGGGGGAATAGGGCCCCAGCGGGAAGAGACACTGCTCTCTGCTTGGACTTGGTAGGGCTGGTGCGGCAGTGACACAAACCGGGAGGGTGTTCCTGACCCTCCAGCACCCATGTGTTCTGGAGAGCTTTTGAGCCATCACCCAACTCACACCAGACCACAAAAAGGAGGGTGAGCTGGTGGCAGCCAGTAATTCCAGGGTCTGAGTCTCAAAGTGCCAGACACGGGGTTTTACTAAGGAGCAGCCTCCCTGTCCCTTGAGGCAGCTGAGACTCTGTTCTACAAAATCTGAAAAAGGGCAAACGGAGCACCCAGATGAAAGACCCATCTGCCCTCCCCAGCCAGGTGGAATCCGGTAGTCCCGGCACTCGAACATCAGACCATGGGCTGTGGTCCACTCGCCAAGTTAACGACGACAGTGTGCGAAGACAGGAGACAGCTGAATCCATGAACCCACCCACATCAGCTGAGGCCCGACGACCTCTCTCTCAACTAGGCACACCGAGTGGTTACCTGTCTGGTTGCCTGCATGCCTGAAGAAGCCTTCGCAAGGTGTACGGCTCAGGCCGCAGTGACCCTTGCGCTGGGCTACGGGGCGGGGGATGAGGCTGTCCCCAGCACCCCATGAGCTGTTTTCAGGGGTCAATCTGTACCCTCAAGGTGTGTTCACACCTCTGTCACCTCTGAGGGCTGCATAGGAGGTAAGGACAGCGAACTTAGCATGGGGGATGGGATAGAAGACAGACTCAGGGAGCCCATTAGAGGCGTTACCTGATATGGCGCTGGCGGATCAGCACGCGGGCGTGGTGGATGGACTTGGCCAAGCCCAGCTTGAAGACCTGGGTCTGCAGGCGCCTCTCCAAGAAATCCTCGATCTTCAGGCCCAGGATGTAATCCAGCTTCATCTTGCCCTCATCCAGCACTCCAATGCGCACCAGTCGCCGCAGCAGTGCATTACCTGGTAGGAGGGGAAGGAAGTACAGACTGAGGTGTCTGGCTCACTTCAGACTTCTTGGGTTCGAATCCCCCACTTCTTAAGGAGCTCCGTTATCATGGAACCAATGTATGGCCACTGTGACTCCTGCAATCCCCCCACAACCCTAAGGCAGGTCACTATGGCCACACTCTTACCAAGGAGGGCAAGTGACCATACACACCTCTGTTCTCATCCGAAAGAAGTAGAACTTTCCTTGGAGATGTCAGGAGAGTAATGAGACAATCCCCAGAAAAGGACTTAACGTTTCCCTGCAACAGACTCTGCAGCTGTTGCTAAACTCCCACAATGAAGCACAGAGCTTTAAGAGCTAACCCGCTAGAGTTGGGAAAGCCCTACTAGTCAAATCTGAGCCTAAACCACCTTCCTTAGTGGTAACACTGGACTGGCAGTACCTAGCTTCCAGACCTGAGAAAAGTCATAGGCCAGGCACATGTTTGAGTATCGTCATTCACTTTATCATTCTGTGGTTTTCACTAAAAAAATTATGGTGTGGATGTGCTAACAATGCACGGCAAGAGAAAACTCAGCAGATGTCAGCTTCTGACTTTTTCCCAGCAGCCCCAGGCACAGGAGGTCTTGCACCGGGCCCACAGCTCCTGACAACTCCACCCTGGACTGCCTTTGTGATCCTGGGGGCAAACCCTGGCCCGAAGGCTCATGCTCACTGTGATTACCACAAAGGCTCACAGCTAATCAACACACTGTCACTGGGGTAAAACCCAACTATCCCCACCCCCTTAAAGAGAATGTTTCACTTGTTACGAAGTGGCCATTATTATTATTATTTTTTTAAGATTTTATTTATTCATGAGAGACAGAGAGAGGCAGAGGGAGAGAAGCAGGCTCCCAAGGAGCAGGGAGCCCGAGGCGGGACTCGATCCCAGGATGCTGGGATCATGACCTGAGCCGAAGGCAGACGCTTAACCATCTGAGCCACCCAGGCACCCGAAGTGGCCATTATCTTTAATTACAGCAAAACAATTCAAGCAAGCTCCGTATTACTGGGCACTTCCAATATTCTTGGCATCATGACTCCTTGTTCCCAGGGAAAGCTCCATGACTTTGTGTAAAGTGACAGTTTTCCTAGCACAGCCGATGGGAAAGAGTCAGGATCAAAATGGAAAAATACACTCTACCTTTCCCAATACCCCAAGTCATAACATGGCTTTGTTTTCTGCACTGATGAATGCTGAGCAGAAAACATGATTTCTTCCTATTTACAAAACATCAACAAACATAAAATACCCAGAAACAGATTTAACCAAAAAGATAAAAAACCTGTACACTAAAAACTATAGATATTGATGAGAAAAAGACTGCAGACACAAAATGAAAAGATATTCCATGCTCATATTTGGAAAAACATTGTTAAAATACCCACATTACCCCAAGCAATAGGCAAATTTAATGGAATCCCTATCAGAATTCCAAAGGGGTTTTCTTTTTTTAAACATCTGAGAGCACGAGCGTGGTGTGAGCACAAGTGGGGCTCTCTATCCTGGGACTATGGGATCATGACCTGAGCTGAAGGCAGAGAGAGGCTTAACCAACTGAGCTGAGCCACCAGGCGCCCCACCAAAGGCGTTTTCCATATAAGTAGAACAAAGAATCAACTCTAAGATTTGTACGGAACCACAAAAGACCCCAAAGCAATCTTGAAAAAGAGAAAATGCTTGCAAATCACGTTTCTGACATGAGGTTAACACCAAAAATACACAAGCAACTCCAACTCAATAGCAAAAATTCCAATGTAATTTAAAAATGGGCAGAGAATCTGAATAGATGTTTTCCCTAAGACACAGATGGCCAACAGGTACATGAACAGGTGCTCGTCATCACTGATCAGGGAAATGCAAATCAAAATCACAGTGAGTTCACCTCACACGTGTCAGGTTGGCTAGATCTAAAACCCAACAGACAACAGTGCTGGCGAGGATGTGGAGAAAGGGAACCCCTGCCCTGTGCATTGTTGGTGGAAATGCAAAGTGGCACAGTCACTATGGAAAACAGTATGGAGGTTCCTCAAAAGTTATGATGCAGCAATCTCACTTCTGGGTATTTATCCAAAGAAAATTGAAGTGCTAACTGGAAGACAGAAGCTCCCCCATGTTCACTGCATTATTTCCAGTGGCCAAGACACGGAAACGTTAAGCATCTACTGACAGTTGAATGGGTAACAGAGGTAGTATATACACACACACTGGGGTATCACTAAGCCTTAAAAAGAACGAAATCTCGCCACCTGCAACAACGCAGATGGACCTTGAGGGCATGATGCCAAGTGGACTAACTCAGAGTCAAATCCCATAGTCTCACTTATACGTGGAATCTAAACAAAACACCACCATCACCAAAAAACACCTCAAGTTCATAGATACAGAGAACAGATACATTATGGTGGTTGCCAGAGGCACAGGGGAAATGGGTGGTCAAACTTCCAGTTATACTTACTGTATATTACAATGTTGCTAAGAGTGTATCTCCTTTTAAAGAGAGATTTTACTTATTTGACAGCGCGCGCACGCACAGAAGCAAGGAGAACGGCAGGCAGAGGGAGAAACAGGCTTCCCAAAGCAGGTAGGGTGCGATTCCAGGACCCTGGGATCATGACCTGAGCCAAAGGGAAACGCGTAACTGACCGAGCCACCTAGGCATCCCGGAGTCTATCTTTTTTAAAGGCTTTAGGACGGGGTTAACTGGACTTACTGTGTTCATTTCACAGTATATAGGAATATCAAATTGCTATGCTGTCCACATCTGGAACTATACAACGTGGTCTGTGAATTATACGTTGCTTAAAAGAGAACAAGGATGTTTAAATACTAATACAAAAGCTACCCAACAGGCAAATAAAAACGAGTTTGGGGCGGGGCGCCTGGCTGGCTCAGTCAGTTAAGTGTCTGCTTCCGCTCAGGTCGTGATCCCAGGGTCCTGGGATTGAGCCTCCATCAGGCTCTGCTCAGTGGGAGTCTGCTTCTCCCTCTCCCTACCTGTGCTCTCACTCTGTCAAATAAACAAATAAAAATCTTAAAAAAACAAAAAACGAGTTTGGTAATATTATCTACCAGCTAGGACACTTTATTATGCCTTTTTGTCCTTATGCTAGAGAACAGAAACTTCAAGAATTTGAAGTTTAAAATCCCCAACTTGGAGACTTCTAGGTAAAATAAAACCACTATCATTAAAAAACAAACGCATTTCACATTTACCCTCGAACCATCTACACACTGTTAAAATAGGGAGGCCCAGCCATTCCATCAACACCAAAGAAAGCCTTATATATGTATAATAACTAATTTTCAGTGCACACTGAATAAAACTTCGTACCTTCAACAGGAATAGGTCCAACAACTGAAAAGTTACCTGGGCTCCATCTGGCCAAAGTGAGAACAATCCGAGCAGTAAGAAGGTTTTCCAAATATAAAACAATGTGCACAGTCCTCAGAGGCAGAGGCCCCTCCTTGTCGTCATGGCACAAGGCAAACGCTGAGCTACTTTAGTTTCTGTTCTGAGAAACGGACGTAATACCAGTTTCCTTACGGCTGCCATTAGGATAGAGCCCCCCCCCCCCATGAACCCCGGCCACACGCTGGCTGCAACTGGTGTTAAGAGTCTGTCTTTTCGACAGACAAGAATCGGAGAAGCTTCTTGCCGAAAGTTGCAGGCCTCACGGCAGGCAAGGCCAGACCTCAGGCTGTATCAGGGACTAACACCTCCAGACACAGGCAAAG